ATATTGCGTCAAGATACGATAGAATCATCGTATCCTATAGCCTCATACACATCCACCATCTTGTCGCAACCACTAGCCTTCAAAACCACCAATGCTGCAAAAATAAATGCCGCCTTTACTGTCTCCTCCATCGTGCCAAGTTCACCGTCGCCCTCCTCCGAACCTTCCTCTCCTCCTCCGTCAACGGCTCCCGTCTAACTTACTACCAGTATTACCGCAAGTGACGACAGACAACGTTTCCTGCTGTGACGCAACCGCCTTCAGAATCATGTCACAAGAACCTTATGCACAAATTGTAAATGTAAATTACGAGATTGCCAACTTTACATGAACATTTACGGTTAGCTGGTGGGAAGAAAATTCAAGTGCCAGATGACACCGTTCCATCTGTAATTGTGCAAATTTGCCAAGCTGCAAAATACTAATAAGATACAACGATGGAATTTAAAGAAAGCCAATGTACGAGAAAGATGTATATTGTAATTTCTTATAAATACTGCATGAAACCAGCATTCGTGAATTAAATAGATATGTGTATTTATGAATTTAATGTCTGAATATTTAGTCGACAAATACTCTATTTACTTTAATTTTGTATGTAAGTATGTATATTCAGATTTATGTACATGATACAACAATAAATTGAATATTTATGTTAAAAAATAATAGCACTTACTTAAACAAAGACGATTTGTTTGTTCACCGATATCTTTATTACGATTCAGTGGTCTTTCATGGCGACTATGGGAAACCAATGGATGAAATCTTATCCTATGTCGTTTAACGATACATCATTTGATCCATGAATGATTTAATAAGAACTAGCACGATAGGAGAATTGAGCCTTTCCTTGTTTGGTAGGGAATATTCTATAAATAAGTTTAGTTAGCTGCGATTATTTATATTCGCAGTTCTCCAGTTTTTCAAATTCTCTCACTTGCATGTCTAATGCTGATTCAAGTTCACGACAACCCCATGTGGGATATGTAGTTACGGAGGGTAAAATCCAACGATGTATTTGTGCTTGAACTGTGAAGCCGAATGTGATATGTTCCGTTCCTATCTCTGAATTGTCGCGCGTTCAGAGTTGCTGAAGGAAAACTTGATGTGTGTTCTTCTGACAAAAAGTCTGGGTGGTCCTTGCCATCAAAACTTGCATTTTTGATTTTTTGAGGCCAGCAAAAAGCCTTTTAAGCAGGCAGAATTTCGTTGCATAAATCGCTTAATTTTATGGCTTTAAAAGAAAATATGAGCTGCGTTTTGGATCAGCATACCGGCACCTTCCGATATAGCATGCGACAGAAGAAATTCAGCAATGAGGACTTTCTACTGTTAGAATCAAAGTTGGACTCAAATTTGGAACCCGATGAACAGCTGATGTTTCGAGATGTTGTCAGGATATATCGAAGAAATTGCATGGTAAACTCCTACAGCAGACGGAAGATATATGAACTGTGTGTCCCTGTGGTCAAAATCATGCTACAGGGAAACCTAAAAAACGATTATTTCTCAAATCGCTTCAAAATTCAAGACCACCTGCGTGTGATGCTTGACGTATGATGATAATATTCAATGTTTCAGATTTCAAGTGCCACCTTCTTTAGGTGTAAAAGTGTACAAAACAAAATTATATTTTCATAAAAGACAATGTTTTTAAACTTAGAAGACATGAAATCAGAATGAAAAGTTGTTTGCATCATTGGGGTCGCTGGGTAGCAGGGATAGTAGTTTGGAGTATAAGAGTTGGTGAGAGAAGAAGGAGTTGCGATGCCAAATTGGGTTTACTTGCATATGTACCTACATAAATTATAATACTACTACCAACAATGATGAGATTTATTTATTTGCATTAACTGAATGGGTTAAATATACGCGCGCGTACGTATCCGTTAAATTTTAAATACACGTAGGCAAATGCTCAAGCCGATAAGGTGAGTTTACGGAAAGCGGACGTCGGCTTGACGCAAATTTATCACTGTATCTATTTCCTAACATGCATTTGCTGCGCTTTATTGTTATGCGATGGATTGATTTTATCTTAAGTTTTTTGTTCGCAACTTGCAAATCGCAAGTGCCCCAGAAAGCCACAGGTATGATATTATGTACATATGTAACTATGTAAGTCCGACTTGTTTGTGTGTTGCGACCATAATTACTCATAAAATAAATCCATGTATTACTTCTACATTTCAATAGTTGTATGTCTTTCATTAATTCTACGTCTTACAATAATTCTCCGTCGTACATCTATTATACATACGTCCTGCATCAATTTCACGTAACATTTTCTTATGACGCTTATATTTTTGGACAGCTTCAATAAACAGGGGGCAAACTAATCTAACCGTTTCCTCAACATTTGCCCTATTACATTTCACATATTCGATTACCGCCAAACAGAAACATGCCGCAAGACAGGCGACGAGTAGAATGAAAATGGTTTGAATGCTATCGCCTAAACTGACCACGCGAAATGAGGTCGCTGCATGGCGAAATTTCTCATGCTTTTCTAATTTGGCCTCTGTTTCGCGACCTAATGTCTCGTTCTTGGTAAATTGATCAGAAACCTGGTTGTAAATCCCTGAGCTCAGAAACAATTTCAGATATTGGAGCACCCGTGATTCCCGCCCAACCAGCAGGATAATTCCCGCCGGCACCTCAAAGATTGTTTTCTCCCCGCGATACCATTTTTTAGTGGGGTAATTTTTCCTTAGGTAGTCGTAACAGGGGTCAACTTCACTCGACAGTCCGGCATAAGCTGATCTCTCACATTGCAATAGTTCTTCCTCAATTATTCCATTAACTCCGTTATAGCCTAGGAGGTCAATTTTCTCCGGGTACCAGCGAATCCTTGGATTCATCATATCATACAGTAATCGATGTGATTGCGGCGGAATATCATAACCTATGGAATAAAAGTATTCCGTAAATTTGTAATTTCCCAATCGATTCGATCTTCCCCAAGCTTAGACATATTCGGACAAAATTGTGTAGCACAATCCGCCCAATCTCTTCAAAATTACGGGAAGTATATAACTGTTCTCGTTATTCTTCAGCGAGCTGTCCAGCTCATGAATTTTAGAAAACCTATCACGTACCATATCCTTATTTACCATCGTTCGGGGTTTCTCTTGACCATACATTTGTTCATACGTATTCCCTCGTTCCACTGGAAGCGGCGAATTCAAATTTATTATGAAGGTGCTCAGGTGGCAATTACTGATCACGACGGAGACTGGAGCCCAATAGCCATGAAATACTGATGGGTTGAAGGGGAATTAAATTATACAGTTTTTTCGGCAGCTTGTACACCTCGTCGATCAGGAGACCGAAAAGTACAAGAATGGTCTTAACGGGTATAATTCTTTGTTCAAAAGGTAAAATCCCAACGAAAGCAGGCAAGTTGATAACGAAAGCATGATAAACGTCCACACGATTGGATCGTAAGGAGCGAAATAGAGGGAAAATGAGAACCCTCTAGAAAACATGGAGCATGAGAAAAATGAGAGGCCCTGAAAACCTTTGATAACAATTTGGCCGTTATGTTGGAACCCGTCTATCCCCCGTTCAGTTTTATAGTCATACGTATGGTAGAAACGTGCTTTGTTCAATGCAAGGTAGCCATTGGATTCTTTTGGCACCCAGTAACGGCGGGTTGCATTAAATTTGTTTCATGCCAAAGCAACTAAGATATATGAGATTGTTTGAGATTGATTGAGAACTTTTAGTACGAGTTGGTATCATATAGTCCTGCGAATAAAATTATTTTATTATTATTCTTTCCATGAAATCATATAGTTAGAAATACATATGTACATAACCACCGTCTTGTAATAATTTAATATCAGTTATGTATGAGTGTGTCACACGTGCTGGACCTTGTGTTATGGATGTGATAAAAATACCCAAGTCAAGTACATATCTGAGGCATCTATATTATAAGCTGGAAATGTCTTTCTGCAACGGAAGTGAAAGTAATTTTCCGTGACGGAAGTGAAAGTGGAGAAAGTTAAGTTTCAAATGGCGCGACAATTCAAATTAAATTCTTAATTTAAAAAAATACGCCCAAGTAACCACCGTCTGACAAGCACCCCCAGATAACCACCTCATGATAACCACCCACAGATAACCACCGCCTGAAATCACCCCCAGACAACTACCTCCTGACAACCCCCCCAGATAACCACCCGCTGATAACCCCCCCCCCTTCAGATAATCACCCCTGATAACCACCCCCAGATAACCACCATCCGGCAACAGCACAGGGTCCATGAATTGTGATGCATCGGGACTGGGATGATTGTGTTGGGCTGTGCTGTGCTGTGCGCACAGCACAGGGTCGACGAGTTGTGTCAAGTCGGGACTGGGCCGAGTGTGCTGTGTGCACAGCAAAGTGGTACCAGTTGAGACGTGACACAACTCATCTGCAGTTGGCTGTCTGACAGTTGTTCTCTGTTAATGGTTGTCTGACGATGGTTCTTTAGAGATGGTTATCCTGAGTGTTTATCTAATGATAGTTATATTGTTTATCTTGGCCACCGTACCTTAAAGCGAAGTTAAATTAAATGGAAACCACTTCCATCGAGTAACATTTACTTTCACTGCCTTGCCAACAGACACTTCCAGCTAATAGTATAGATGCTCTCGCCCGGCGGGAGACGGGCTTATTCGCTAGTATTTACATATTAGCATCTTGTTGGGTTATTCCACACGAAATAATACATATGTATCTGCTATCATGGATCTACAGTAATTATTTATGGACGACCCTCCATACAAAGAAACATCGTCTTCAAATTATATATTTAATACATCCTTTTAGGAACATATAGATATATGTATATATGTATATTTGTATTACATTATTAAAATAAGCGGACTGGTGGTTTTGGGTCTCCTGTCTTATCTGTGCTCAGCTTAACATGAGTGGGATATAGAATAGGTGGCTGTGTGATTTAAAAATAAGCATTTTTATGACAAAATATATCAACGCTCCAATATGCACTTGAAATGAAAATATTTATTTTACACCGCACAAATTTAAGACTTTATTAAACCCGTTTATGTATTTTTACAATAAAATCGTCTCTTTACTGCAATCAATTTATTTTTGCGAGAGATTAGTCCAAGTCCTCGTACCTCTTATTTTTAGATGGAGGCACAAATATCCCCGAACCCACCCTGACATCGAAAGCCGCATTGTTGGTTGACAAATTGGCAGGTGCCTCCGCTTTTAAAAATTGGCAGCCCCAAGGGACCCACGGTTTGACAGGTGTACGTATCGGTGTAATTGTTACACTTGGGAGCTATACAAGCACAAATTATGGTGGTGTCCACTTTTCCAAGAAAAAAACAAGCGAATAAAGTAAGAAGTAAGAGGACACGAACAAGTCGGAAAAAGAATTCCATTTTCCGTGGGAATCTGGAATCAGAAAAGAATTAGGTTAATTTTCCAATTTAGAGGTGCATAACGTGATTTATTGCAAAATAAGCTTTACAATTTTCCACTAAAAAAATTTGCAGATCTCTGTTTGAAAAATTCTGTTTTACTGGATATTACTTTACGCCTTTTTCAAATTTAAAACGGTTTACTCAAATTTGACCAAATTTATTGTTATTTAATTCTAGTGATCAATAATAATTAATCGATTCCGGAACGTTCACATAGTACGTCACCAAAAAAGTGGGTGTGTAATTGTGGTGGACAGTTCACAAATTGGTGTTTGTTAGATGACGTACTTAATATATTGACGTACCCGTCCGATTTAGCTATGTTTTAAAAATTGTGTTAAAAACAATAACTCTTTTTCTGAAAATTAAAAAATTTAAACTTTTTTACAAATTAAGCGTAGTTTAAATAATATAGAATAATAATAATTATTTACTAAATCTGGTAAAATTTTATAATATATATTGCATTTAGATATTTATTTTTCCAAATATAATTTTTATTCACTTTTTTAATTCTACTTAGTAATTAAAAATAAGTATTTAATTAGTAATCATTTTTTTAGTAAAAAGGATTTAAGTTTTAACGCGTCTCATAATTTTTAAAATGGATTGAAGAAAATTTGTCTGAATGATAAAATGCATTTGGGAAACGAAAAATTTGAAAAAAAACTGTGACTGGGAACTATTCATAATTAGTCTGGATAAAATCAGACTAATTATTCCAAACATTTTACGAAATCTTTACCTTCGAAAAAATATCTTTATTTCTTACTTTTTCGAAATCTGGAAACTTTGGAATTTTTTAAATTGATTTTTTTCTACCCGTAGGTCTGAACAATCTGCTCGAAACTGAGAGAAATTGAGACACAAGTCACTCATTTTATACGAATTTTATGTAACTGAAGTTAATAAAATTAACCTCTTGAATAATAACTATTTTTTATAGAGGGGCCATTCATAAATTGTGTGGTAAATAAGAGTAAATAAGTGTATGTCCAAAATCACTATGAAATGGAGCTAAAAAATAAATAGGTGTCTGGAAAATCGGGGAACACAACTTATGAACGCCCCCTAAGTACATAGGTACATAGCGGTCACACTACAAATTCATCGAAAATGTGTACCACGCTTAGAATAACTTCATGCGTACACAAATACGGGCACTCACTCATTAAACATCTCGCCATGCCAGGACGAAGTTCAGAACAAACTTGATAACACACTCTAAAAAATAATGTCACTCTTTTAAAAGGTGAAGGCAGTCCGATTTCGAAATTAATTAAACGAGGCTAAATCCAGCGTAAACTTTATTCCTGGTCAAATTTACGCTACTCTAGATTTAGTATACTTTACTTCATGTAGAATTCAAGTCAATCTGTCTTTTTGAAAGATCAACCTTATTTTTAAGAGTGTGTCTAATATGTAGTAAAGTTTAACAAGTTATGTTCTTCCAAAGCATTTTTATTCGCAAGTATGTAAACTATATAAATATGTTCTCGTAAATAATCTTTGATCTCACACTAGTGATTATACCTACTTATTTATATAAACGGGAGCTGTTCTATTGATTGGTTTGGTTCTTTTCTGCAGTACAAAGTACGAAATCCCAACGAATTCAAACATACATATTCCTATTCATCGCATAGCATTAAGAAGTTCATGGTTGAGTCAATCATATCACAAAAACTTGCGAATGTCAATAAGTGGTTGAACTCTCCAACTTCGCAAAATCAACTTTATTGCGTTGAAAAGTACACTTTACATAAGCCACAATGTAGCATATTTAGTCAAAGAAGTCACGTGTGGGACGATTCAATAAGGATGTGCGTAATTTTGCCAAAATCAGTTCCTCACATTGCATCGGGTGTATATGTAAATATGCATTAATCATGTCAGGTTTGTATGCACCTGTCCCAATAAAAATATGGTTTCTCACACATCTGTAGAAATTCTTTATGTACGACCCTCCTATGTTAATACCGCCAACTCAATCAATTTACATAGGACGGATTAATTTCCCCCACGCTGTCGGCGGCCAATGACTTACAGACTCTGAATGTGATTTAATTTCGTTTATAAAAACTACATGATTTGAAACCTTGATAAGGCTAAGGTTTAGATTTTTTTGTGCACAGTAACCCACCCATCACACAGGCAGGCACGACACCCAGTTCATGAACGTCCTCGATACCCAAGTATGCAATGAATACCAGAATATGTGTGCAAAACATAAATTTATTTTAGATAGGGAAAATTTGTCTTTATTAAGCGGTTTGTACTTTTACAACCAAATTGCTAAAATTATAGTAATTTTCAACCAGACATTTTTTTCAAATGGATGCGCAAACATCCAGAAAACCTCCTTGACATCGATATCCGCATTGTTGGTTGACAAACTGGCAAGTGCCCCCGCTCTTAATTAGGTCCTGGCCAAGGAACCCCTTATTTTGGCAGGTCCAAGTATCGCTGGCATTGTCGCACTTGGCAGCCGCACAAACGCAAATTATGGTGGCGTCCACTATTCCAGGGAGAAAGTAGGCGAGTAGAGTAACAATTGAGAGAAGATGAAAAATCCGGACCAAGATCGCCATTTTATACGGGAATCTGGAACTTAGAAAAATATATAGTTCAAGTTTGTTTTAAAATATCCCGCAATAAAATTAATTTATGATTAATAAATAAATTAGTTAATAAATTAATGACTTATGACAAAGTAATTTTGCATTGTTTGCGCCAAAAAAAATATTAGAGAAAAAACTAGCCCTTTATGTAGATTCGCGTGGGGTGTGAAAAATATTGTTCAAAAATATTACGAAAATGGAAAACTTGTATTTTAACTCGAAATAATTTAAATAATTAAGATTAATTAATTATTTCATTTGTATTACTCGATATTTCTATATTGCATAATATTTTATAATATGTATAAAAATTATAAATTTGTTGTTATTTTTATAATGAATTATTAGAATTTAATTCTAATAATTTTGATTAATATTTCACAAATTTTTGACGTGCTTCCGAATTTTAAAAATGTATTGAAAATTCGGTTTTATGAAAAAACACGTTTACGAAGACTAAAACGAAATTGTGTGTGGGCAAAAAATGCAAAAATCTTTTGGATAAAATTATACCAAATTATTTACATAACCTTACCCTTTTTCATGAATTTTTACACAACAAGGTTCGTAATTTTCATCCCTTTGTTTTTTTAAAGGGACGCGCAAACATCCAGGAAGCCTCCTTGGCACCGAAAACCGCACTGTTGGTTGACAAATTGGCAAGTGCCCCCACTCTTGATAATGTCCTGGCCCAGTAACCCCCTATTTTGGCAGGTCCACGTGTCCTGGTTACTGTTGCACTTGGCCGCCGTGCAAAGGCAAATCGTAGCGGAATCCACTATTCCAGGAAAAATGCAGACGAATAAGGTATAAATTAAGATGAGTTGAATTATCCGGAACAAAATTGCCATTTTTGAGGAGAATCTGGAATTGAGAAAAATATTTTAGGTTTTTAAAACTTCTCGCAATTTAATTGCATGATGTAAATATTTTAAATATAAAAATTATTTTCGATTTTTTGCGCATGAAGTAATACTGAATAAGTGGCACCCTTGGTTACTTATGTAAATTTTCTTCAGTTTAAAAAAAATAGAAATTTGAAAAACTTATATTTTCCGAACATTGAAATTAAAACTTTTTTTTGATTCAGGATACATAATTTAAATAAATGAGCTTAATTAATTAAACAATATTGTTAGAAATATTAAATGTTATGAAATATTTTATTTTATGTTATTATTAGTTTATAATTTACTAATTTAATTGTTATGATTCCTAAAGCCAAATTATTATTCGTAATTTTTAGTATGTAATACTTGACTGATTTTTGACTTGTTTCTCAGCTCTAAAACTTAATTGAAAAATCAATCTTCTATTGAAATATGTTTAGGAAATGAAAAAATAAAGTTTTTTTTTGGGGGGGGGGGGCGGGTGAAAAGTAGGCTGAAAAAATTATCTGGATAAATTAATTCGCATTAAATCACGGCATTTAAAATGATTCAAGAAATTTTTACCTCCAATTTTGTATTCTTATATTTCTTAAAAAAATTGAAATTGAAGATTTTAAAAAAAATTATATTTCTGAAAATTATTAATTAAATCGTGTTTTGAAAGTATTGCCACCAGTCACTCGAAACAGTCTTCTTTACACTGTGAGAACTTGGCAGAAAAATTAAGATTTTATAAATTCGAGATAAGCTCTTACAAAAACCTTTTTTTTATTCAAAAGCTAGCCATTCCGATTTCTGAGTGAAGATTTTGATTCACATCTTCAGCCATTTTTCTTCAAACTAATTTTATTTCACTTCACTTCACTTCACTTCATCCGTCTTCATTTCTAACTTTGTCCCTTGTGTGTATTGAGCATAGTGTGAAAAATGAAAGGAGTAAGAATTCTTTCCACTCACTTTCTCATTCATCTGAAATCTTTCAGTCATTTTGAATCAAATGAAGGGAAATTTATCACAATCAGTCAAAAGAATGAAAGTGAACAGGTGTGCCAGCTGTATGTATGTGACTCGTGTATACATACATACATACGTGTGTAATTATCCTGGGATTAATAACGATTTCTAACGGACTCGCCGAAATTCTTTATGCACGACCTCCACACGATTTTGCAATCGTATTCATAATGGATCAATTTTCACTTCAATGTGCACGATTGCAGAATTTGTTAACAGTTCATATTCATGTAAGGAAATGAATAAATTATGCATTCAGCCCTTGTTCAATAAATTAATGAATAATGAGTAAATATTTTTTCGAAATTTTTGAATGAATGAATGTTGAACTAATATTTATGCATTACATATTCAAGAAAAGTCAGGAAATAATTTTGTATATATGTAATTAATTTTCTACGCTATGCATAATATATTGGGTATATTGAGAAATCCATGTCATATATATGGCGAATTTGAGATGACATTATGATTAAAAAATGAGTAACGAATACTGACTAAATATTTATTTTCGAATCTGTATTAAATAAATAATGAATAATACATATTTGTCTTCCCATTTTTAAATTGATTGGATTTTGAACAAAAAATATTTCTGTTCAGGCACACGATTAAAATTAAGTGGTACACAAATTTATAGTTTTTTTAATCTATGTGTACCATAGTGGCGATGGAGAACCTTGACCTAAAAATGGTCAACAAATTATTCTAGAAATCTCAAATTTTGGTATAATATGTAAAATGTGTCTGACCACGTGTCCCCAAAATTTCATCAGTTTTCCTTGAAAAATAAATTTCTCACACCATTTCAAAGCGAGAAAGTCGGGAAACGAGTTTTTCGTAAGTTCCAAAACCTGAGTGATAATGACTCGAAGAAGGCTTGACCACATTTCAACAGGGAAGGCTGTAGCCGTGCAAAAATTAAGGCATACATAAAAAAGTATTGAGAATCAGAAAATGACAACGTCAGGAAGGCACCATATGAAAAACCATCATATCGACCCCGCGAAAGTTAAAAACGATTGAATTTATTTTTTGAAAGTGTCGCTCCACGTCCGTGCCTGATGCGACCATGAAGTCGAAGATTAATCCAAACTACTTGTATCATATTAAGGCCCATAAATTTTGGGTCAAAGCGTTTACAAAAAAATCTGCACCAAAATAAACGGAAGTTCAAGAAAAATGGTAAACACAATACCTCCCAAGCTTTGCACCAAAATTTTACCCAAACAGCTGGTAATTGGCGATGTCTCGTACGCTTTCATAAACTTGAGAGAAACTCCAGGAAGTCAATTTTTTCAGAGGAAAAATAATTGTCAACTAAAAACCGAAGAGAAATTAAAATGTTTTTCAAAATTTCTCAAGAAATATCGGGTTTGGCAGGCGTTGGGTAAGTTTGGGGATGTTTCGGCCCCCAAGGTCAAAATCGCTGTGTGAAGATACAGGTTTATTTTCAGAAATGGGAGATCCTTTCATTAAGGAGTATCAGAAAATATAAAATGCAATTTTTTGGATCGACCTTAGGCCAATCGATAATGCAATGACTATCAAGGAAGAAATCTAAAAAAAATTCAGTTTGTCGCTGAAAAACGAAAACCTCACATTCAACCCTTATCTTCACGCAATAAAAAAATTTGGGCTATTTGTATAAATACATACTTCCAGGTTTGTGAAACAGTAGAAACGTTAAGAAAATTTCGATTCAGCTAGGAGATAATTACCCATGAAGTTGCAAAGTCTTCCGGTAAAGCAGTAATGGCGGGCGTGATGACAAAAGATAAATACGAGGTGGACAATGGACTTCAGTCTTCTTTGTTGGCGAATACCTGTGGCTGGATATATTTAGGATATTATATCAAAATTAGAGATTTCTAGAATTATGTTTGACCATTTTTAGGTCAACGTGCTCCACCGCCACTATATAGTACGGGATCTCTAAAAATGCGATGACGCCAGCGGTCTCGCCCCGATTTTGACGAAACGACGATAATTATGTAGCCTTAGATAAATAATTAGACACGTGTTTCAGGATTTTTCATAATGCTCAGTTTAAACGAAATTATGACGAAATCCGTGAGCGAGAACTCCCATTTTCACCGTGACATTTTTCTGGCATATGAGAAAATACAGATTCTCCATTACGGAGTCCATCATAATTCCGTTTTACGAAGTGGTTTACTACGATTTTGGTTTGTTGCATTTTTGAAAATTTTAAAAATTTCAAAATTTGTACAAGCAACATAAAATCGGAAAAAATACTTCATGCCCACGCATTTCAAGCTTAAACGAAATAAAAATTGTATGATAAAAAAATTTCCCAAAAAATTGTATGATACAATTTTTTCAAAGTTTTCAAAATTATGCATCCCGTTTTTCGCTAATGTTGCACTAGTGGTGCAAACTAATTCCGGATTCTTAAAAATATTTTTCCGTTTATATTGCAGCATTGGTGCAAGAATCTATGCGAGTTATCATCGATTTTGTCGGCCTATTCCCTACCTTAGGTGGAAAGTTAAATGCAAATTATTATGACAGGGTGAGCTACTTCTAACGTTACTACGGTTTATTTTTTATTTATTGAACAGCCATCAACCTTTATTTATTATTTTCCAGGTTGCCCTGAGCACCCACTTTGCATTTTGAAGTTTACGAACGTCCCAATAGAATAAGTACGTATATAGCTATATAAATAAATATGTACTTAAAATTAGATATTTTGTTTACTTCACGCAAATTTAAGACTTTATTGAATTTGATTGTTTATTTAATAGATTAACACAAGTTGTGTAGTAATCAGCGGCCCAATTTTTAGACGGAGGCACAGACATCCAGGAAGCCTTCCTGGCATCGAAAACCGCATTGTTGGTTGACAAATTGGCAGGTGCCCCCAGTACTTTGGCAACTCCAAGTATCAGTTTCATTGTTACACTTGGCAGCTGCACAAATGCAAATTATGGTGGACTCCACAGTAAGAAGGCTGGTGAATAAAATCAGAAGTGAGAGAAGACCCACAAGCCGGACCAATATTGCCATTTTGTACGCGGAAATCTGGAATTTTGAAAAATATTTCAGGTTTTTTTTATCTTTAGCATTTGCAGGGATTGATGTGATTTGTGAAACAAAATTATTTTACACTTTATTCGCCCAAAAGCCCGTAAAGTGTGTTTTCTTACGATTTCAAAAATTCATTTAAACAAAATATTTAACCGTTTTAAAGAAAAATTTAAAGACCTTTTTAAATATAAATATTTCGAAATATTTTCGAAATATTTTTTAACGCAGGATATGGTTAATTAATTATTATTTAATATCATGCAATAGAATTTATGCATATTGCTTAATATTTTATGATGTAATTATTAATTTATTCTTGTGATCATTAATTAACGCTAATAACTAAGAAATTGTTAAAATGTTTTCGAATTTTTAAAATCGGTCAAAATTTCGGTTAGATGAAAAAATAAATTTTTGTATAAAAATGAAAAATAATACGTATTTAACCAATTAAAAAATACTCCACATAAAATTGCACTAAATCGAGGCAAATTACATAAATAATAAATATTTCAAAACATTTACCAAATTCCTATCTACCCAAAAGATTTTTGAGAATTAGTTTTGTTTCTTAAAATTGTCGAGCTTAATTATTTCTTAAAATTATTTCTTATGTTTATGAAATTATTGCTTAAGTTAGAATAGTCTGCTTGACACTGAGAGCATTTATTAAAATTAACAATTTTATAAGAGGTTGAACTCTTAATTGAACTTCGCAAAATTAATGGATCAACAGTTTATTTGTAGGAGAGATGCATATTTAGTTCGTAAATTATGAAACGCTGAGATCCACGTTCCAGGCCAATGAAATGTCGAAATTGGGTGGATAGAAGAACTCTGGATTTTTGGGCGTTACACGACAAGAACACACAGCGTCAGTATTCTTTGATAGCTTGCACTCTTAAAAATAAACCCTTACAAACGGATATAAAAAAGTATGAATGATCAAAGTGCACTATAAAATGACACAATATCTTACAATCATGTACTTTTGACTGTTGACGTCGTCCTCAAAGTCATGAGGTCAAAAATATTAACGTTCTTGAAGCCGCAGTGAAATTTCCTTCAAAATGACACCCCACATGACAATTATGTATTTTTTTACCTTTGACCTAGTCCTCACGTTCACTGGGTCAAAAATTTTAACGCCATTGAATTCGTGATGAAATTTCCTTTAAAATGACACCCCACATGAAAATTGAGGATAAATTTAATCTGGACCACACCCCCTGGCGCAGTGGGGTGTGGTCCCATTGACCCCATTTTGACCCCGACCGAGAATTAAAAATTAGAAGCACAATGGCGAAAACGGGGTTTGGTTATGTTGACTCGTTCTGGAGATATCCTGCTTATAGACGGACAGACGGCCGGACGGACAAAACGATCACAAGAGTAGCTAACGCTACTTAATAATGTCACCATTTTGTACAGTAAATGCGCTCCCAATTGAAAATTGAGTAAATTATGCTAACTCAAAAGCAAACCTTATTATTCATTAAATTACCGTTACGTTGGATTTAGCATAGTATACTTAATTTAGATTTCAAAGTGATACACCTTTCGATATGATAGCATCATTTTTTAGAGTGTGCCAGACATTTATTTTCTCATGACTAAATGTAGATAAATTTGTATGTACGTACGTATGTATTAACATAATAAATTCATTATTTACATAACCATCACCCGATGCTTGGACGAAGTTCAGGGCAAACTTGATAACAGACACATGTACATATTTACATATGTAAATAGTGAAAAGTTCAACAAGCTGTCTTCCTCAAAGTCAAATTTGTTCGCAACAGAACAAGCAAACTAAATACGTACATATGTATGTACTCGTAAATAATCTTTGATCTTGGACTTGTGATTATACCTACATACTTATGTAAATCAGTAACATTGCTTTGGTTGTGCAGGACGAAGTACGAACTTGTGGCATCTCGATTTCGTACTAATTAAGGTTAAAAAACACACTCTGCAAAGCTTATAATTTTTATATTTGTATGTATCGCCAAATGTGTCACAACCATGTACATAAATGTGTACCAATACAAGTTGGGCCGTGAATCAAGAATGTGCTAAATTTCTCAAAATCTATACCTTACTATGTGGCATATTTATTGACATATTTAACGTGTAATAGTATTATCCACAACATAAAATTATTTGTGAGGAAATTATTTATGCACGTTCGTCACCATCACCGCAAGACTTAAGTGGATCTCTCCATACTTAAGATACATACCTCTCTCGTGTCGCTGCGTCCCATGGAACTGGAGACCACCAGTTCCTAAATTTTTAACCTGAATATATTTAATCTGTTTTTATATAACATAACTTTCTAGACTCATTTCCTGTTACAATTACTCTAATTTGCCAATCGTATACATATGTGAATGGTTTCATAAGAATTTGTATAATTACACACGTGTGTATTTTCTCAGAAATACTTTTTTGTCTATTTATTTCTTATAAAAACTTGTTTCTCTTTACCCCTCTGTTGATATCTTATTTATGTTGTTGTAATAACATTTCACAAATGGGCATGGATATTACGATGGCTTAGTGCTGTAGCAAAACATAAACTTCCTTATTATATGGAAACCCATTATCGTTATCTAAATTAGTTTGCAGGATTTACCAAGAAATACTTATATAAGTATAAAAACCATTACCCAATCAATTTGCACGATTGTTCGTATATTTACTTGTTAAATTTCGACCATGGTAGACCCTATGCAAGTTCTTCGATTTATAAGAAAAACTGAATTCTTTGAATTATTATATTCGAAATTAATATTCGAAATCAAAAATACCTTCATTTGGAGTTTAGATTACAAATTTGTGTGCATGTTTCATCCAAACCTTGAAATGTGTAAAACTCGACTTATCCTATTATTGTTAATTTTCTCTAATAAATTTAACGCATCGATAGGAAATGATAAACAAGTCTCATCACCTGCAACCTGGACCTCATTTATAAAGACACTGAATTATTGCACAATCCAAGTATTTTACGAGAGCAAAGATTTCAAAAGTTGGGACATTATTTCTAACCAAATTCAACATCAAAATCACCTTCTAAACGTTAATTTTGTCATGGAAAACTTAAGTTATCCAAAAAACAGATACATTAGAGCCGACGTAAACCAATTGGATGGGGAAGGAATTATTAAGAATTTCCCATTCAAAGAAAATTACTCGGGTCGGATTTTTTCAAATTGTCAAATCGTCATTATTTCTCCACCAGTGAATCCATTATTGTTGATGTGGGGAATTGCGGCATTCAATGAAGATCCAGACTACATCATAATCCTTGACCATTACCCAGGCGGTTTGCATCGCCTATTTAATTTTTATTTCTCTTCCAATTATGATTTTAGACTGACATCCATCCTTTTACACAGCAACATAACCTCGCGTGTTTTATCAATTGTGTGTTATACCTGCACTCCTATTCAGCAGATAAGCGATCAGAACGATAGGAGTATTTTAATTACAAAGTTGTTTCCCGTGAAAGACACGACCCTCTCAAAGTTCTCAAAATATTATAAGCAGCTGATAAAAAATTTTAACCATCATCCCATATACTTCCCTTCAATGCAATATCGTAGGTTTTGGAAAATTCCTTGCAGTTTAAAACATTCCGGTTTGGGAACATCAGAAAGATCTTGCCCAGTATCGGAACTAATCCATAGATTGAATTTTACAGCTATAAATTCAAAGCGAAACATTATAGGATACATTGCGTCGAATGTAGTTTACAATGAGGCAACGCTAAAACACATTTTTTTAACGCCAGGATCAGTTGTTAGATTAATTTGGATTAAACAAGGCATAGAATATAGGAAAGTGTACGCTGCAATTTTTACCTTACCAATTGAGTTAAATGCACATTCTTTGATAAGGATTTTTGACGTTTTGTCATTTTCCATTTTAATATTATTTGGAGGTTGCTTTAGCTTGATAATTTTTAAAAATCATAAATTTGTGTTTGCCCCGGCCATGTGGACTGTCAGCATTTTCCTTCTGCAGGGCACCAATTTTGTCATCAAACCAATGGAGGCAATTAAAATTACTAGATTCCGCGTGTTTATGACCTATTGGATAATTTTAATTTGGCTGTTTAATGCTTTCTATGTGGGAAGTATTTTTAGTGGTGAATTTTTCTCTTTCTTCACATCCAACAGGGTGCCCCAGGTACCACAAAATTTGAAGGATTTAGCACGAACAAAAGATATTCCAATTGTCTCATGTGCCACAACCTTCACTAGACATGAGAATAATTTTGTAGAGATTAGCTCTGTGAAAGAAAATATTATCCCACAATTGCTTGCAGTGGAAGAACACTCAACCGAATTTCGAAAAACGCTACACCAGCTCAAGAAAAGAATACAATGGGTAAAGGGCTTGAATGTATATAGTTTTGCTCGATGGGCATCATTAAATGGGCGACTTAATAGCAATCAAACGCAAAATATACCCCCCTCAATAATTGCCGTGATTGACTATTCAGATACACATAAAATCTTGGAAACTTCCTTTGGTGTATTCAAAAAATATTTCATAATTTCTAATCACGAGGAGATCCTATACACAGAGCATATGCCTTGGGTAACTTCTAGAAACCCATTTGGGGTAATCTTTGAAGAAAATATTTTCTACATGAGCGAAGCTGGAGTATTAGCTTATTGGGGAAAGAATTTTCAAAGACATCAATTTCTTAATGAGGTCAAATATTTCTACAAGGAACAGGTGAAACAAAAATTTCCAGAAAAAAATTATACAAACTATTTTCAAAAAGCGATCCTCAATAGGAGAGAAAGTAACTCGGTTGAACTTGTCAGGGAAGGTGAGCCCATTGGGGTGGACAAGATTAAAATGCTTTTCATTCTTTATGCTTTATGTATCGGCATTTCTGCTCTGTGGTATGCCATCGAAAAACGCAGATTTATAATAAAAGGTTGTATACGGTGTAGAAAATAACCGGCGATTTAGTTTTAACAAAGTTATTTCTTATAATGGATCAGTTTTCACTTAAATGAGTTACTCGTTACAATTTGAGGTGAGCATGACGATATATGTATTCACTTTAATGTGTTTAATAGGAAATGAATAAATTATCTATGCAGACGTTATTCAATCCATTCATAAATAGTGAGGAAATAATTTCCCAAATTTTTTAATGACTCAATTAGTTTGTATTCATTATCAATTCTAGTTGTATAGAATGAATAAGTAATTTTACTCAGCATTAACTTTGCATCTTACCCTGAATACATGGGGTATATTGTGAAATCCATCCAATTTGAGATAAAAAATATGTAAATCAATAATGACTAATGAGTAAATATATTTATTCATTATTCATTTTGTACCCTACTCTTAAAGGAAACAAATTTATTAAGTTCTGATGACTGAAATATTTTCATTAGAAGTTAATTGGAATCTTAGATTAATCTAATCTAAGATTCACTTAGTTGGAATTAAGTTCATCACAATGTTGCTGACTTCTTGCGCGGGAAAAAGTCCCCGTTTGGCACCTTCCAAAGATGCAAATACACCACTCGCCGCCAAACCACCATCGTAATCCAGGCCCGCTTTGAATCATCTCCAGCTGGTCGGGTTGGACCACATCGGTCATCTCAGTTGGCGCAATCTCCCCATCGTCAATTATTCCCCGGCCAAGAACACCTCCCTGCAATAAATTAGAGTAGTTGGCATACATTAGGGACTCCCAACTTTGTAAAAATTCGATTTTTTCGCTCTTTTCTCAAAACACTTTTTTCTCAGTTCCGATGCGATTTGTTCTTTGTTCACTCCTTTGGTCCAAAAATAAAACTATCTTAACCTTGATTTTATTTTTAAGAAAAAATATTGTAAAAAATTTCGAAATCGCATGCGGAATTGAGAAAAAAGCGTTTTGTGAAAGAGCGAAAAAATCGATTTTTTTACAAAGTTGGAACTCCTTATTGTTATAACTCTGGTATAATCAATCACGCAGGTACTGGCTTCTCGGTATTAAAGTTACCACACCCTCGGTATTAAAATTATACTGTCCGTAAATATTTGCTGCCAACATAAATAAAAAATAATTGGGTTATGATTGTAGCTAATAAGTATGTATATATACATATTTGAATCTACAGCTATGGTTTTGAATTCATCAACACCGATTCAAATGTCTTACCATAGGAAATTTATAACCACTCGGTGACAAATTCACCACCATTTCGGTAGAGCCATATGTAAATATGTACATCTCTACTCATAATCGTAACCCAATTATATTCAATGCACGACTTTACATAATACCGAGCTAATATTACGCAGAATTACTAATCAACTCACTTTGGTAGAGTTGTTCATGGTATTATTTTTATACTTTAGTTCTAAGAGTACACATGATGGCCAAAAACGTAAAAAAAATATGTAGTCAAAGTAAGAAGTAAGTATTAGCAACCCCACACAAGATACATAAAATTGGATATAACCTTGGCATGCATTATCAAATTTGCGTGAATCTTTGCTCGCAATTGACAAATCTATCTAATGTAGTAATTGATGATAAGGTTTAATTTATAAGGTTTTAAGGTTGATAAGGTTTTAAGGTTAATGAGGTTGATTAATAAGGTTTAATTGATTTAAATTAGATGCAGAGCTTTTTAATTAGCTGCTTTTCCAATTAATTAGTAATTGAAAATTAAGAGGAAAATATTCTATCTAATTAATTGGTAATTAGTAATTAGACTCAGGTTGCTAATTAAGCGAATTAATTAGTTAATTAATTACAACATTGACCAATTAATTGCTGATTTTTACTGATTTTCTAATTAATTAGTAATTAAAATTAACTTCGGTAGTACTACTTAATGTCAATTAGTAATTAATAATTAGCTTAAACATGCTATTTAATTAAATAATTAATTAGATTGACTAATTAATTAGAAAGCCCTGATTAGATGAACATGTTCGTTAAAAAATATGCATCTACCAGAACCACGAGAAAAACGAAAATCACCACCAATCTCATGTTTGCTGCCAAACTTTCCTACAAAATTCTAGAAATTATGAGTAAGCCTGTATTTTACAGTTGGAGATTATATGAAATCCTCTTCGTGACTGATTACTCGACTGAATATGACCCGAGTTTATGGCAAGGTGAATAAAACGAGCATTTGAGACGCAAATGACTTTAATTGATTAACAATACACCACATTTCCTTTGTCGGGAATACGGAGATTCATGACTTCTCGTGACCAGATATGCTAAAAATTTAGTTTCAAACTGATGTAAAACTTTTTTTTAATGATGATCGCATCAAAAAATTATAATAATAAATTAAATATGTACGTCATTTAAAATTGTATAATTTACGTATTTACTTAATATTTTAATCTCATCAACTTTATGATCTAATTCGTTTAATGTTGTACATGAAGTTTAACGCCATACAAGTATTATTTTGTCACGGTTTATGCATTTTGGAAAACAGACTTTCAAACAATGCAAATGTAAACATGACAACATCCCCTATTGAGCATTAAAGTTCACGAGACGCAAGTTTTGCGTTTTCAATATTAGATTTGCTAAATAAATCCTTTTTGCGTCCTGTTTAATTCATGCATTCAGATAAGTTCGAATTTCCGACAAAGCAGTGTTTTACCGAGCAGTCGACTGCTCGGTAAGACACCGAGGATACGCGACTGAGGTCGCATATGATCAGTCGCGTATGATCAGTCGCGTATGAGACTCAAGTATGTGCTTGCATTTTTAAGTAAATTTCGATTAGTACATATTTTTTCACCCGGTTCAATCGATGATCCATTCATCAAAGTCCAAATTTCTGACAAAACAGCGTGTCACCGAACAGTTACCAGTCGGTGATATGTAATGAGGCGATAAAGTTAATTTTTGCGAAACTCTTGGTTCTGCGTTACATTTAATTTTAAGAAGGACGCCATATTTCCTGTGTTCGAAATATGGAGATACATTACTTCTCATGATTAGATATGTTTCATAAAAATTGGTTTTTACTACTTTGCAAACAAATTTTCAATTGGGTGGCTTTAAAAAAATATTATTACCTATAATATTACACAGATACATAATTGAAGATTATGTATGTTATTTATTTATCTTACATTTTAATCTCATGAACTTCATGAATTATGTATTTAATGAAGTTTAATGCGACACAAATTGATTTTCCTAATCTGTATATTTGTGCAAAACATGCCTCATAAACTTGTTCTAATACGGGGATTCATGACTTCGGTTTCATTTTGAAACCGGTGACCCAAATATATTAAATTAATATTTATATATGTTATTTATGTCACATTTTAATCTCATGCACTTCATGACATATACTTAATTTATGACGTTTAATGCCATACAAATAGTATTCTTTCCGTGTTTGTGCAAACAGTGCATTATAAACTTGTTGACTTTCAAGCACCACAAAAAATACAAATATTTACACACGAACATGAAAACTTCCTGTACGGCGAAGGAAGGTTTATGAGACGCATATGTACTAGGTGGCCCAAGTAATATGTTACTAGATTGAAACGCTGTAGCTTCAACAGTTTTTATGCTAAAAATTTCTAGTAAATTTTAATGGAAAGCCAGTTAATTTTTAGGTAGAAAACAATTTTTGGTTTCCGAAATTTCCTCCCCTAACATTAATGCAGAGCTGAAGACGCGGCCTAAAGACCTCGGAGCACGCTCGGAATCGGTGGACAAATTGCTCCATTTCGTGGTCAAAAAATTTGTTTGAAGCTTTCAGACTTCTATATGGCTTAGAACACACCTTTGCCCCTAACTTTGGCCGTTTTTCATAATCCGGGCATTTAAATCCAGAAAGGAGGATGACCATTTCCAATTGGAGATATAGTCCGGAATTTGGTTTTTTATGCACGCTTCGGCCATTTTTTGCACTATAAGCTCGTGCGGAGTCCCGCTAAGAGGTCAAATCGATTCCATTGAAATGGATCTCACTTAGGGCATGTACCACGGACTCGAAAACATTTTTTAAGAAATTCGATACCACCACCTTCCCCCCATTTTCAACAAAATGCAGAGAAATTACCCAAATTAGCTCCCACCTGACAAAACCATCACAAAACCTAGATGATGTGACTTTTTTACTTTTTCTCTGTATCAGAGGATATCTTTGACCGATTTTGCTTAGATCAGGTCAACTCGTTTGTTAAAATATTTTCCCGATGTGAAAATCTTCTCATTTGTTAAAAGAATACTCTTCACTTTTTTGGCGCGTACCGCTTGAGGAGAGCCATTCATTTCTTTAGTAGGGCTTTCTTTCTGGGTATCATCAAGAGGTGGCAAGTACTACGTTTCGAAGCCTTAAGTCTAAGGTTCAGTTTGAGTACTCATTGGATAATTTGCATCCACAATGTCAGCTGTGAGGCTATTTTCCGCTGGAATTTCGTGGATGTTTTTGGACTCTGTCCTTCAGCGCCTTCACGATGGGTGTGGTCCTTGGAGGTTTTCAAAAAAATTTTCTTCGACTGTTCATAGTGAAAGTAAAAATGATCTCGCTGGAAGATATTTTTAGACTGATGGTGATTTTTATTAAACAACTTGGTTTTAAGGTTTTGACAGTACATAGGAGACATTCATACATATGTAATAATATGTGGTCAGAAGTGACCATACAAACTACGCAGAGTTATGCTCAAACGAAGTGTCCCTTCTAATGAGGCATAAAAACAAAAGGACCCTTTTAATCCCTTGTCCTGGGAAAAAGGTTGGAAAATGCTCAGCCCTCATAAAAGTCGACAAACTTAAAAATTGATAAATATGGAAAACTTTGTTAACATGCATATTTTAACATCCTCCCTCAATTTTTAAAGTTCAATATCGGCAGTTTCCACTGGATTTGCCCTAACCGAAATTACATTTGGCCGGCTTTTCAGAAAAAGGAAAACACAAAGAGTGGCTTGAGCAACTATTATTAGTATGCAAAGGGTTAAGATCCATTCCATTGTTGACCAGGCTGGTTCATTGCTTGTGTGGTAGTGGATTGACCCTCCTTCGTCAGTGGAACCATTGATCATCAGACTGGTCCAGTTGAAACTAGGCTGCAAGTGCCAGTTGGCTTTCATCGTGAATAGTGGGTCGACTACCTCTTGGTGAACAAGGCTGGATTCAGTTCCTGAAAATTCAATATCATTTATTTTAAAATTAGCATTCATTGGAAGGATGAACACGCTAGCAGGGCATTGTTGCAGCTTCCTCTCAATGGTAATATTGGACCCAGGGCAGTAGATATGATATTGTCCATGGTGTAGTTTGATTTGTACAAAATCCCATGGTTCAGCAAGGTTCTTGTCATAACAGTGGTCTATGTCAAAGTGATTGGAGTTCTTTGTTTTCGCTGTTGGCGTGCATCCTCGAGTGGGCGAAACAATTAGGTCGGGGGTTGTAGGCTCCTTAACATTGATGGAGTATACGCAGTCATCTTTCGTAGAAAGGATGGCATTATGGGGTCCCTTGTACTTTAGAACGCAGGTTTCATTCTTCCTTTCAACTTTGAGATCGAAGGAGTCTGCCTCGATGAGTTGCAAATCTTTGTTAATTTCAGTTGCTGTGAAGTCCACATACAGCTTGGTTCTGTCATCTGATATTTCGCACTTTTGAGATTGTGCGAAGCTGACTGGGCAAGCATCACCACAGGGTAACGTGAAATTAAAGAAATCCATTAGTGGTGCGTAAACTTTTCCTCGCCGCCACTGTCTTGTTGCTTCTCTAATTATTTCTCTACCTATCATGAGGCGACTGGTAAGGTAGGCAATTGCGAAATTGGTGTCAATGGATTTTCCCTTGAGTTCGTCGTGATCAAGCTGATGTAGCTGAAGCTGTTCTAGTGTAGCATTTAGGCTAACCTTAAGCTTCTCAATCTCTCTTTCCGATATTTCCACGCGACGTTCCAATTCATCCAGCATCTCTCTTTGTTCCGCTACTGTTCCTTGCAAAGCAGAGATTCTTCCAGTTTGAACAAACGAATTGATTGCTCCACCAACTGATAAGCCGGCTACAAGGACAGTCACACCAATTATTACTCCAACTGCAAGTAATGGGAGGACTCTCTTCACTCTTCGTCCAATCTCTCTGGTATGTCGCGAATTAATATGATCGGAGAATTTTCTTTTAGGGCACATTTTTTCTAGCTCATCGAGGAACATTTCGTCGTATATTTTGTTACATTTCTCGGTTGCATAGGCACTTAAATCCTTATGGAGTAGATCCTGTGTTAAAATTTCGCACGGGTTCATGAATTTGACGAGCAAGTGGACTTGGTTATATCCCGTTGTAACTGGGATTGGACTCTTTTTCCATAGTAAAGGGATCGCATTCTGATGTGTCACCCCACAAGCTTGCGTAATAAACATAAGAAGGATGGTGAGAAGGCTCATCAGTGAGAAGTTGGCTTGGAGGGGACCTCTCTTTACTTTAGTTGGGTTGTCCTTGCTCTTCTTTGTCTCATTTCTTTCCATACTGAGATCTTGTCTCATCTTGAAATGCTGGGTCTTCAGTAGTGGCTTACTTAATCCATCTGCAATTTGTTCACTGGTATGTACATATTCAATTGCCAACTGTCCTGTACTAACTAGCTCTCTTGTGTAGTGGTACCGGACATCGATGTGCTTGGATCTTGAGTGCATCTCTGGATTTTTGACCAATTTTATTGCACTCTGGTTGTCAACATGAATTATTTTTGGGGACTCTTGTGGGAATCCTAATTCTTCTAGAAATCGTCGTAACCAAACGGCTTCACGCGCTCCAGAAGCGAGAGATATATATTCACTTTCCATTGATGACATTGAGACAATGGGTTGCTTTTGGCTTGACCATGAAATAACGCTGTCATTTAGCATGAAGACAAAACCTGTTGTAGATTTTCTATCCATCTTGTCGGAAGCATAATCTGCATCTGTATATCCCCTGAGAATCATATCCTCACACGGTTTGTATTTGATTCCGAGTTCCTCGGTGCCTTTTAAATAGCGGAGGACTTGCTTTGCAGCTTTCCAGTGAGTTTCGTCGTATGCGTGCATAAACTGAGACAGGCGGGACACTGCATATGAGATG